TGTGGTTTGTGAAAGAGTGGTAATCATCAGTAATTTCTGTTTGTTGAAAGAAAAAAAAAATTAAGGGATCAACTAATTTGCTTTTCCTTCCTTTGTAGATCACCAGATTAAAAATTGACAGAAACCCCTTCGCTAAAGGTTTCAGAGATTCTGGGAGAAACAGGTGAGAGGAGCTTGTTTGTTTTCCCTCACTCATCTTCTCTCCTTCCCCTGATGAGGGCACGGAGAACGTGTCTAAGGCCAAGGAAGGCGTTTTGTGGCCCTCATTAATTTTTACAGGAGAAGTTTGCTGTAGACTAGTTCTTAGAGGAATTACAAAGACTGTTTTACTTTGTCTAAACAGATGCAGTGTATAATAATGGCTTTCATGGAAAATACTTTCCAGGTTAGCCAGCTAGACTGACCGACCCTATTTCTTTTCAGAAGCTTCCTCCAGTGTTGTTCCTACCTCTGCCTGGATCCTGCAGTCCCAAACCCTGACAGAGGGTTTTAGATCTTCTTACATAACATATCTGTAAAGACAGCTTATCCCTTTCCTGTTTTACAACATTTTTTTCTTTGACTGTCGTTTTTTTTTTGCTGTCGTATATTTAATCTCCTGTTCACTGCTACCTCAGTACCCCTTCTGTTACCACTATTTTCAATGCTGTTTTCTTCTGTATATATGTTTTGCTGTTGTTTTTCTTTCTCCTGCTGGATAATTAATTTATGTATGCTAATCCCTATTGTTTTCATGTTCTACTAAGCTTTTCCATTTGTGGTTGAGAAACACAAGTAAAATATTCTTTAACCTCTCTGATAAATCATTAGTTAACTATTCCTGTATTACTGGTACGGTGCCATGGTATCCAAAGAATTAGGTAAAATAAATAAATTTGTAAAGATACTGTAGACTTTCTTTTTTTTCTTTGTTATTAAAATCAAGAACAGAGATAGAAAAATGGACAATTTCAGATTGTAAACCAGACAAATAGGTCACAGGCTAACAGTCTGCAAAATATGGAATGGTGTAGGAGAGGGGACCTAGACAATTTTGCTTGTTCTTTATTATATGTAGAACTGGCTGGAAGGCATGTTTTATATTTTAATTTTCACAGGAAATTCCAAAACTTGGAGCACAAATGCTCACTTTACATTTGAAGAAAAACTGAGTTTCTGATAGGTTTGCAGGATAAAAGTGCAAAAATGTTCTAGTTTCAAACAGTTTCTGTCTTTTTTTCTCCAGTGCCCTCAAATTGTTTCATTTTGACAGTGTCATTTAATTTTGTCAGTATTTTTATGAAAAGATTAATATTTTTATGAAAAGATTAAATATTATTTAGAAGATGTTATATTTTGATAACACAATAGTAAAACAGCAACTTTATTAAAGAAACACTTTTGTATTAGTAAAAGATGTTACATAGTTGTTAAAAAAGAATAAGAAGGTCCAAACAAAAAGTTTCAACTTTTCCTGCCATTCATGAGTGCAGCAAATCTAAATATTTCAGACCTAATATGATGTGGGTATCTTTGAAATCAGCGTGACAAAGGCTTTAAGCGTTGAATTAATTATAGAATTAGTCATCTATGGGTACGTTACGAGAACCCTAGGGTTGTAAAGCCAGGCTCTGAGCGTGCAGACCAGAGTCAAAGTCGTGTGCATCGCCCTCATTTGCTGTTGCTATGGGCACTGTAATTCAGTTTTTACTTGCATGCTCCTCGTGTGTGCGTTCGCCAGGACTGCTGCCTCATTCACGATTTGGTATGGGAAGCATTCAGCAAATGGGTGGCTGCCCCACGCTTCCCATCACCTGTTTAAACACTACGCCCTCCATGATCACAAAGAAGATGTTTTATTGACCCAGCGACTCTGTAGCTCCGCTCCTCTGTTCTCATCTTACTACAGCTATGCAAAAAGATGTTCCCGCCGTGAGTTTTAGTTCTGATACTCGAGGCATATGTGACTTTTACCCTGCTCTTCTCTCCTGCGTGGGGGAAGTAGCGTGTGTCCTGGGTACAAGATCTTCCCTGTGTTCAGGGATACAGCTGCACTGGAGGCTGGGCTTAGGAGAGGGATTGATGCAGTTCCAGGTACATGGTGGGCTAGATTAGCATGGAAGGCATTAATAAGGTCCTAGCCCAGTGAATTTGGACAGTTTCCTGAAAAGGTTGGGAATTACTGATCTTTGTAGCTCATTGATTTAAGAAAGGGCAGGAAATTGCTACACGGCTGCAGCTGTGGGGAGGGCTCAGTAAGGCTCTCTGCTGATGTAAAGAGGAATTAAAATCTTTAAGGTATTACACATCAAAGAGAGCAGCCTGAGGCTTTAGGAAGAAAAAACAGGCAAAGGTATTTGCAAGCATATATAGCAGTCAGGCGCCTGCTTCACGAGCAGTGGTCTGGCTAAGGTTGCACCGCTGTTGTCAGCTGGCAGAGGACACTCTAAGGCTCAGCTGCTCCCTTTAAAGAGGACATGTACATAGATGTGCACATAGGAGGGAGGAAAGCACTGAGGTCCAAGCTGTGTGTGGAAAGGACACCCCAAATGGGACTTTTCTTAACTGTCCTGCTGGCTCCTCTTCCCCTCGTGACTTCCTAATCTCCTCAGGATCAGCGGTCAACCTGAGTGATGACCATGATGCCCTGTAGCTTCCCACTTCAGCCAGCTGCGGTGCATCAGGTTGTAGCTGGAGAACATCCCGCTGAAAATGCAGGCCTCCTTTGGGAAAGAGGCAGGGTAATTCGAAAAAGGGGCCATTTGTGAAGCAGACAAGCGTAGCATATGTACAAGAGGTTTTCTGTATAAGGTCTTAAAAAGAAGAAGTTGTGTGGCAACAGCAGGGGCCACAGAATTTCCAAGGCTGCTCCAGGGCATCATATCCTAGCAACACTGGGATACTGAATCAAAGCCATGGTTTGAGTTTGCCAGCAAATGATGGAGAAATGGTGGGAGAAGACGAACTCTTAGGCCGCTTCTTCCCTAGGACATTTCCTTTCTGCTCTGTGTTGAGGCTTTCCCATGAAATGGAGAGGGATGTTTTTCCTTCACTCACTTCTTATTCTGATACTGTTTCACCGTTGTTTCCTGCTGCAGAAATCATGGGATTGACTGTTGTTAAAACTAGTTTCCCTTTTAAATCTTTCACTTCCTTCAACTCACAGCCTTCCTGTATGGTTCCTTATGATTGTGGTGTCCCTTCATTAGCTGAAGAGACTGCTAAAAACCTGCTGCTCTGGGACACCCCGTCATGATGAAACTGCCTGTATCCATCTGGGGGAGCGATCTTTTCACGGATCCCTTAGTGGATCTCCTTCAGTTGTTTGCGTGTTTGTCTCCCTTTTCACAGCTAACTGCCTCAGTCCTTGCGCTGGGAGAAGGAGCAGTGAGGTATTTCCGAGGGAAGGATGTGAATGGCTCAGCAGCTGGATGTTGTTTTGCCGTCTTTGAGCATTTAAACAGTGTTAACTAATGGTGTTTAGCAATCTACCCATTAGCCTTAATGGATTAGGGTTAGAAGGTTGAACCTTAATTCCCACTTAGTAGAGATTGCCTCTACGTGATTTTTGGTCCCTCTTCACTTTATCTGCAAAAGCACGTGAAGCATCTGTTAAAGTGAGACGAGAACCAGTCCTGGTAGAGGAAGGATACCTACGTAATGGAAGAAGGCAGCAGGTATTACTTTCTTTCCTGAACTTCAAGAGATGGAGAACCAGAGGTTTTGACATACGGAGCTCAGCTAGCCAAATGTTTGGGTAGAGAGGGTGCAGGTTTAATGCTGCAGAGCCTATTTTTGGACACTGAGTAAAGTTCATTTGACAGTGGGATGCTTGCGGGAGCTCCTTATCCAGGAGGAAGCCAGAAGGGACAACAGTCTGCAAACCCAGCAGGGTGAGGGAGAAAAAAAACCTAAGCTGAAGGCAAGAAACAGCACTTTTCTTTCAAATGTGGGCAGATGAGATGGATAAAAGTTGTTTGTGTTGGAAATGGTCTTTGAGCTTTTGTCTAGGGTAAGAGAGCCAGGAGGGCGCTTGGAGCCAATAGATTGGCTTCCCCGGTGAACAATGAAACGATGACCCGAATCCTGCGTGCAGGAGGAATGGCAAGGTCAGCCATATGGGATGGATTATGGAGGTGCACAGATATCTCGTACATCTTTTTTCATTTTTCAGACAATGGAACTGTTTCATTTATTGCCTATTATTAAACCTTTATAGCACTAAAAATAAAAAAATGAATGAAAAAGAGAGAGCGAATTTTGGATACCTTTTAAAGGACTGACCTTATTAAAATAAAGCTGGCAGTGAGTCCTCTTCTGATACTTTTTTACTTCCTTCATAAAGATGGTGTGAGAGGGAAGGGTTTATGGCCTGATAGACAGTTTGAAGTCAATTTTTCAGTGCAGTTCTTTCGAAGAGAAAGTGGATGCCACATGGACAATGTTCAGCACACTTGGTACCAGCAGTCCTCACCAAAACCCAGAAGAAATTGCTGAGATTTCAGAAATGCTGAAAGCAATTATTTTTTTGGTCAATATTTATTGCTGTCCCAAAATGTCTGTTCATTGGCCAGGTGGGGTTTGTTTTCCATGTTAGGGGTTGGAACACAGAGAATAGCCCTCCAGTCGACTAGGAGAACTTTACCCTTCTGTCCTGTGGTGGAGGTCTGTGATGTGGCTCTGGATATCTTGGTACCACACTAATGTCATAAACTGCTATGGGGGAGAGGGTTGTTAGAGCTCCTTGATTCCCAGCACCTCACCCTCATCTTTTTTTTTTTTTTACAAAAATAAGAATATATCACAGGGAGAAATAAAAAAAAAAAAAATTGAAAGGTTAGGGATAGAGTTGTAAAATCAGTTATGCAAAGGTGGTGTGCATTCTGAACGAAGCTGGTTTTGCACGGCTGCACGTTGTTTTTCTGCAGCACTCCATACATGGGGTGGTAGGTGTCTAGCAGGTTAGCACAAGAGCTTGCTGCCTCGTGGATATTGTCTGATGCATGGGAGAATTTCAAAGTTCATTAACACAAAGCTTAAACAAAACAAAACAAAAAAAAAAAGAAAAGAAAAGAAAAAAGAAAGGATGATCTAGTATACAGGGACCTAAATTTGTGTATAGGAGAACTGGATGAAACGTGGAGCTCTGTCACCCACATACTTAGGGAGGATGTTTTGTGATGCCTGTTCAACATGTGCACACCTTGGGGGGCGTAAAGGACTTTGATTTGGGGGAGGAAGAGGAAAGAGGAGAAAGAGGCGGCTTTAAGCCCACTGTGGATTTTGGCATCCATTCTTCAGGTACCTGTGTCTGCAGTGCTGCCCGGGGCATTACAGGGCAACCCCTCAATCCAGTGAAGCCACGGTGTTGCTGCCAGCAGTGGCAGTGTGGAAAGGGAGGGTGACAGGAGCCAAGTCCACACTGAAGTGGCTCTTCTAAACCTGCTCCCCTGGAGCAGGAGGCAGTGGATCCCTAGTGGCATCCCTCCTTTCCCAGGCATATAGGGCAGTAACAAAGCAGCTTTGCAGGCTGCTCTGGTACACTCCGTGCTGCCATTTACACTCTGTGGGCTCACAGGCACAGGGGAGTCCAAACCCTGAAAACAGTATACTATTCCTGACTCACTCTCTTATTTTTTTTCATTGTCTCCTGACTAATTCTCTGTTTTTCTTTTCTTTTAGAAGTACAGATTATATGGTACTTGTGAGATTGTATTGATCAGTACAAGTATCAATACTTGTACTGTATTGATACAGGGGAAAGAGGTAAACAGAGAGTTAGAAGCTTTGAACTGTGACTCAAGCTGAGCTGAGAAAGATGCAGGCTCCAGGCAGAGGCAGGGGCAATAGCTTTAACCTGCCTTTACTGTTTCCCTGAGCCACCTCCTCTTGGATTTTTCTGGAAAAGAGCAGAGCTTGAAGTCAGATGCTGGTGAAGAGTGGGTTTACGTGCATGGGGATCTAATGACTGAGGCAGGCCGTGTGAACACTGGGTTTAGTGAGCTGGCTTCCCTGCTTCCCCGCACGATCCGTGTGGCAGACACAGAACAGCTGGATTAGCACAGCTGGAACTTTCAGTCTGCGGTTCTGAATGTATTACGAGGTTTTACCCATCGAGGCAGGTCCTTTCAATATTGGGTCTTCTTGAACTGAAACTTGCCCAGGGCATTGTATATATATGGTGGCAAAAGGTCCTGCCTCAGTGTTTGGGCTGGGGACCGTTCATGAGGCTGCGAGAACGTACCGTTCTCTTCCTGGCTGCGTGTGTTGGGAAGCAGATGGAGTCTGAACATGTGTGGCTTTCCTCTGGGAGCGGAGGAAATCCTGGGGGTGGTACCGGCAGTTGAAGAGCTGCTTTTGCGCACAGAGCCCAGCTTAGCAGATGGGTTCGCGTTCTGCGCTGCCTTGTTGTCTCTCAGCTCCACGAGCTGGCAGAGGCCGCTGTATTAACCAAATAGTTTTGTTGTAATGTGCTCAGCGCTAGTGTGAGGCTGCTATGCAGAGATGTCTTCTGTTTCTACTTCTAACAGCTTAGCAGCTAATAAACACCATGCAACAACCTCTCTTCTAAACCTCCTCTTAAAATACAGAGTTTGGTTTGCCAACTCCAATGTATTTAAAGCATCTGAGCTTCCGGGGAGACTTTGGAAAGTTAACTGAGTGAGAGGAGGCACGTGCAGAAAGACATTTTCAGAAGCAAAAGGCAGCTCCAGTATCAGCGCAACATCTGACGAGAGGCTCTGGGGATGTTAGAGCCTTTTGCATTGAAAGGGGATATGTTCTCGCATTTGATGAAGCATCTCTAGCCATGTTCGGTCAGCACGAGGGCTATAACCTACTGCTGGAAAAGAGGCAGGGGAAGCTGAGGAATGGGCAACAGAGCAATGTGCAGCTTTCACAGAGGAGAGCTTTTCCTGGAAGAAACTCCAGGGGGTTCTCTCATAAAGAATGTGGGGGTCTTTCTCTGATAATGCACCTATGTCCTCACTGAGCCTGTGGATTTAGAGACTTACAGCCAGCATTCTGTGGCGAAACAGAATAGTTTTGAGATCCTGGCCCTTCAGAAGGAAAAGTTCTCACTTGATTTTTAGCTTTTTCTTTTTGGTGCTGTCTTTGCGACGAGTTAGGGACCCAAAGCAGAGATTACCCTGATCTTTTATAAAGAACCTTTTATATATTTCTAGTTGAAGTCCAAACCAAAGGAGATTCTGTTTTGCACAGAATCATAGAATGATTTGTGTTGGAAGGAACCTTAAGGATAATCTAACTCCAATCCCCTTGCCATGGGCAGGGACACCTTCCACTAGACCAGGATGGCTTCCCGTAGCACTTCAAGGCAATGTACAGAACTAGGAGGTGGTGGGGAAAGACAATTCACAAAATTTCTCTGATTCTGAAGGCTGAATCCCAGACCTCCCTTGTTTGCATCACAGCTTTTATCCACAGTGTGTGGAAGCCTGCTTTACGCTGAAACATGCCTTGAGGAGCTGACAATCATGTGACCCCTGCAAAACAGACAGAAAGTTCGGGATACTTGTTAAAAATAAATAAAGAAAAAGGCACTAGGAGACTGTTAGGAGCTTTTGAAATCCTGGGCTGGGGAAATATCATTTTAACCTAGTGGCTAGCACCTGTGCGGTAAGGCTCACTTGAGAAATCCACAGATGCCAAGGTGACCTTTCAGTGGCCGCTGGCAGCCTGTCAAGCGAGATCAGAGGCCTCTTTCCCCCGGCACCAATACCCTTGCCAGCTGATTGACATTCTTCTCTCCTTGTTTTATTTTCATGACACAGGACAGGGCTGGAGGCCATTATGGAGACCTATGCCTTCTGGAGGCCCCCCGTGCGCACTCTCACCTTCGAAGACTTCACTACCATGCAGAAGCAGCAAGGTGAGTGTGCAAAGGGCATGCAACGAGCTGTGGAAAGAGCAGGAGAAGGAGGTGTAAGAGTGGCAACGCACCCTGCTGTGTGTGCGGCAGCCGGGGAGGGTTCATGTCCCTCGTTGAGCTCTTGGCTGCTGTGAAGAGACACTGAGCAGGTAGATGGAAACAGTGCATGGGCTGTGCATTATGAGGTGCAGTGCAGCCACTTCATCTCCCTCGTGTCTCCAGTGCTCCTAAGACCAACAAGAAGGAGCAGGAAGGAGTGCAGGTTTGGGAGAACTACTCAAGTGCACCACATGAGTTAAGCGTGGAGAGAATACAGAGAGACCGAGGAAACACTCCGACACGTCAGACACATTGTTCACCACCTGCAGCTAGTTTGCCATTTGTGTGGCAACGTGAGGGGAAGGGGTGGGTGTCCTCTGAATGCTTTAGGAGACCAGAAATGTGCCTCCCCGCCAGGATCATACTGCCTTGATTTCAAAACCAAGTGGCCTTACTGGAGAGTCTTTGTGAGTTGGAGACTGGGAAGAATTATTGGGTAGGCAAAGTGTTTTCTGCTTGTTCATGCTGTGTCTTTTCATAGCTTCTGCCCTTTACATCTCTCATTTGTTAAGTAGGGCTTTCATCTCCAGTTTCAGGCTGTGTTACTTCTTTTTTTTTTTTTCCTACTGATAGGACTTCCCCATTCATTTCACTGCAGCTATTTCTAGTTAAAAACACAGCAATCACTGGGAAGAGAGGTATAAGGTCAAACTGGTAGTCTTTTTTTTTTTTTTAAATTCCAATATAAATTCAAGGAAAGAAACAATCCAAAGTCCTGTTCAAATGTGACACCTGTGAAGTTGAATGATCAAAACCAAATGCATACCCTGAGTAGCAGATTCTCCAGGCTTTCACATTTGAGCTTGATATTGCTCCAAAACTTCCCTCTAGACCTCAAATCCATCTGGGGATGGTGTGGTCTCTTCCAGAGGGAGGGCACCAGCAGTGACTGCCGGGGCTGCCCATCGCTGGGCAGGAGAGGTTTTATACAAGCTCAGGGATGTGTACTGAGGAGGACTCACAGGGAGGCGTGTGGTCAGTGATAGGTTAAAAAAAGCATTCAGGAGCGTTTTCATCACCCACCTAAATAGAAACATAACAGCCTCTCCTCCTGGTCATGGTCACTGAAGCTGTTTCCCTCCCCTGTTTCACCCCCTTTTCGGGCTTGCACACCTCCCCTCCCCTCCCATTAGTTATCAGATAACATCCTAGTGGCAAGTCCAGCTATTGCTTACATGGTAAAGTAATATTAGGAAAGGAAAATATTTAATGTATTTTTAGCTTGTTTTAATATAGTTTGGCAGCTGAAAAACCAGGAAGCAAGCCAGTACCCTGTGACCAGCCATCTCTGTGCAGACCACCACCACTGCACCACAGAACACCAGGTTTAAGGCAGCCCTTAACTAAAGCTGTGTCCATAGGTCAGTCTCAAAACTTAAAACTCGCTACAAAACAGTGCTCTCGAGCTCTGCATTTAGTCATGCAAAACAACCTCAGTAATACATCAGGAATATTCCCTCCATCACAGTGCTCAGCTCTTCATTGCCTGTCATAACAAGCTGACCCCTGGTTTCAGTGATAGGTGCAAAGCCAAGGTACAAACATGCTATTTTAATTTCTTGCTGCTGGGACAGCCTGCAAGGGCCAGCACAAATATGCTGGTCTGGAGGCCTTGGAATTGCTGGCAAGAAGAACAAGAAATGCTGAGGTGGCTTTAAGCCACGTGTGATTCTTCGTTCCAAACCTAAGATGACCAGGATGTTCAGTGCACATACCTCTTCATCTGCTTGCTTTCAAGAACATGCACTGTGTGTCAGATGAGTAAATCGCTGGTGTTTTAACAGCTGACTTCAGCATCAGCTATTGTCCCTCAGATCCTCTGAGCTTTAGCCAGTCTTTAAGAGACTTTCCTGGGACTCCCTCCCACCTGAAGCTTCGGTGCTCTGAGCTGCATGCTCTTATCTCATACCCCTGTGTATTTATGAATTCTCAGGGTATTATTTTAATAAACAGACACTTTAATTCTAGGTCATGCTGTTGTCTCCAAAGCTGGGTGAACATGTGGCATTTCTGGATAAACATTTGAAGAATTGCAAGCCTCCATTTTATCCCTTGAATTTTTAGTTGGGAACTGGGGTTACAGGCTGGTTTTGGGACTGGATGTGTCCACTGCGGCTTAAGAGGAGTGCTAGGTTTGTCTGCACTATGGATTGCTGTGGATTCTTAGCTTTTCTTTTGTCACATGATAGTTTTTCCATGACATAAAAGGGTTATCTGCCTTCTCCAAAACTGTTTTGTCAAACAAATCCAACTGAATTATTTGGTTAAGTTAGAGATTTGACGGATAGAAATAACTATATAGGTGTGACGGAATTTTGGAGAGAATTTAACTTACTGCCACATGTGCCAACTTGGAAAATTTGATATTAACATGTATTGAGAAATGAGCAGCTGACTGATCTTAAAGCTGACGTGATAAATGTGAAAATACCATCCAGTAAGGACAGTCCCAGTGTTGCTCTGCAGAAACTGGTGCCAGTACTAACATGTCCAGAACTAAATGAAACAGTGCCGTTGCTAAAAGTTAAAATATCTCATAAAGACTGCAAAGTGGTCAGTAATGATGGAGACAAAGGTATGAAGAGCCATAGAGATTACTTGGTAACTAGCATGCATTCAAACAAAGCATGGCTTTTAGTCCAGACAGATACAATATGTCATGTGTCTAGGTACAAAACGTGCGACATGCATACACATCGACTGCTGGAAAGTGTTGGCACTGACAAGAACTTGGAGGACTCAGTGGATAAGCCACTGCACATGCAAGGGACAGCGTATATAATACTGTGATAGAGACATGCAATCTCTGGTGTAGAAAACAAATAGCGGTAAGCAGTGAGGAGACAATTTCCCAGCTGCAAACGGACATTACAATATAGTCTTCTACTGTATGCATTTTTAAAGGGTGGAAAGAGATTGAAGAGGATTCAGGAAAAAAATGAAGAGTGATTTGTTTGCTGGAGAAGATGCCTGTATTCAAGTACTGAATAGATGCAGCCTCTACTCTCTTGCAGAAAGAGTACTTGGTAGCTTTATGTCAACCATCCTCAATAGACTCTTGTGACTGCTGTTTCCATCTCTTTATGACACAAGTGTGTAAACATGCTTCATTACGGTAGCTCTGATTTTTCTACTCTAACTGAATATTCATCCCTTTTTGTGGGATGTTATGAGATAAGGAGAAATTCCCCTCATTCGCCTTCTCCATACTATTAATTTTTTAAACATTCTTATGTCCCTCTTCTGCACTTCTCACAGTGAATACTGCCAGTCATTTATTTTCTCTTCAAGCGGGAAGTTTTCCAGGCCTTTAATCGTTTCTTTAAAAACAAGTCTGCACGGAGTATTCCAGATGCATCCACATGATACAATTATCTAAATGTATTATAATTTTTTCCACATTATCCTTTCTCCCATTCAATGTGCATCCTAGTGCTTTGCTCATTTGTTTGGCCCAAGCTGTAGCTTGAGCAAGGGCCACAGTGACACACCAAATTGATACTCGGCACGCTGGATGCAGCTGTTTCATACAGAGATTAAATAACTTTCTAATCTACACAATGATAGGTTTCAGCTGCCACACAAACTGAAGAGCTTGATATCACGACCAGTCACACAGATGCCTGGTGTGGCTGACTCTAGCGGTCCATGAGCTTTATTTGTGTATGTTACCGCTGAAGTGAAGTGCATCAGTAAGTGCCTGCAGGTCTGTGATCTGAGTGGTCACCATATTGTCCTGCCAAGGAGAAGAACATTCCATTTCTGTCAGTGAAGCCCTCTGATCTGGGTACAAAACCTCTATTTTGGAGCACACAGTCCAAAAATCATTGTAGCTTTACAAGGGCAAGCACCATGTTTGACACAATCACCGCAGATCTGAAGCCAGTATGAAAAAAACAGTCACCTCGAACAAAAAATTTGCAAAAAATGTTCAGAAAACAGCAGTCCAAGAGAGGCTGACCTTCTGTCAGATGTCAGAATGATGTCACCCTCTCTATAGTCTGCTTATTACTAGGGAAAAAGGGGTCTTGGGATTATTGAATGCACATGGCAATGAGATGTGGGGAAAGCCAAGAATCTATTAAAGTCTTTAATTGGAATATATTTTCAAAATTCAGATTGAACCTCATCCAGATTCTCATTATTAAAAATATGTGGCTCAATTTCTTGATTTTAACAGGGAACATTAAAAAAAAAAAAAAAGAATAAAAAGGTTGGTGGGTGGAAAATAAGAGTTCCAGTAACTCTGGATTGTGTCACTTTCCAAAAGTAAAAAGAGCCATTGCTGGCTCCTATGTGATATACAGTTTCTCACAGCACATTTTGATGAGCAGATTGCTATCAGTGACTGTAAGTTTTGCCAGGACATAAAGACCAGAAAGACACTGTGACAATGCTAGAATAGTGATCAGTATCTGATCCTTCCTATAAAAGCTGATGACTTATGCAAGAAGTAAAATCGAAAGTACCAGGAGAGCTGGTAAAAGAATTGCATCCTAAGCAGAATTTTAGGACCAGTATGAGAGTTACACAGCAGCATGTTGACAGGTTTGCAGCACATCCACTTTTACTTCACTATTAAATTACTGCTTTGATACATGCCCACCAAGTCCACAAGAGCTAAACATCTTAGCTTTGACTGGTGTCAAAAGTCAGCTTTCCTTTCAAATGGGATTTCTTCGCTCTAATAAATGCCTTTGCTGAGGACTCTACCAATTGTTTTCAGTAGATGCAACCCATTCTCCACTGACTTGAGCATCTCCATTGATTTTGCACTGGAGACCTGAGGTAGAGAGGTCACCTATTAGGGAGTCTGTAAAATCTTCATTAATGGTTTTTGAGATTAGCATCGGAAGCTTGAAGTTTGAAACAGTACCGGAGGCAGAGGGGTGTGCTCCTCA